TCGGTGTTTACGAAAGCTTTAAAGTGTGTACCTGTCAGTGATTTCTTTTGATATTCACGAAAATCAAAGGACCCTAACTTCAGCACGCAGCTTCGTATACTGTGTATATCTATTATTTGACATTTTTAGATGATGACTCAAATAATAAAGACATGATCAGTTAGTAATAAAATTTAATTTTTAAGGTTTTTGAAAAATGTTCGAAATTTGACGAGTAACCGTGGACCACAGATAAGCCTTATTTAAGACTTGTCCTTTATAAGGAACATAAAGCATCAAAGAATTAAGAATTTTTGAAATTTTTTGTCTGATACGTTCATTATTTGCCAAATTATAATAAAATAAAAACGACATTATATGATCACCTGGCACCGTCGCCATCCAGGTTTTTGACGTCTGTCAGCGTCATGGTTTTTCAATATCTGCTTCTTCTTCATACACTTATTTTGATGAGATTCCCTGGAGCCGAGTGACGACTTAAACCCGTCTTGTTTATATGACTTTACAATGTCATGAACAGCGGCTTTCAATGCACATAATCTTGAAAATGGATTCATTCATTAGGAGAGGTACTCGCTTGATTGTGCCAGCATGTTTTGCCTTTTGAAATTAATTTCTACATCACATGATCATCGTCATTTTTTGACGTGATTGATTTTTCACACCTTGGCTACAAATCGACATTAACTGTGCATCCCTTTTCTCTGTGAATCTCTTTTGGCATTAAAAAAACAAGTACTCTGGATACATGTTATATCTCCGTATCCCGATGAAACTTTTCCTAGGTCTAAACCAGTTTTTTCAGGGGCAAAACCTTATAGAATGTTGGAAAAGGAAACCACTCCCCCTTTTGACGTCATTTTCAAGGCTTTGTTTGTCTAAGCAGTCAATGAAAAATTTGCGATAACTTCTAATAGAACTTCCAGAATGAGATAAGAATTCCATATTTTATGGAACAATAGTGTCCTATTACATACCTGAATTAACGGGATTTAAGGATGTCAATTATTCATATCAAAAGAGTTAGTTACACTGAGGTCGAAATATCGTCGTGTTCGAGGTTGCGCCGACTGGACATACCAGTGCTTACAAAAACATTACTAATTTATTTAAAAATAACATTTATGATGTATGGTTTATACTATAGATAGAAAAGATTTTACACGCTCTGCTTTTGCAGCTGCTTCGAAGCAGAGCTGCAAAAGCAGAGCATGTAAACAAGAGTTTTGCACTGCAGGCATGTAAGCAGATAGAATAGAACTTGCTCTTTTTCAGTCTGCAAAGCAGACGTAACTGACCATTCTGATATGAAACTATATGGCTTTAAAGTGAGAGCAGGCAAGGTTAGCAGCTGGTGTAAACTCTTTGTTTGCTTTGCAGAGTAAAATGCAGACCAAAAAAGCAGCTGCAAAAGCAGAGCGTGTAAACTGGGCTTAAAATGCTTGTAAGATATTGCTATCAAAGTACACGCATTTAAAAATGAAAATATTATAAGACGAACCTTGATGTTTTTGTGTTACAGCTCTATGTTCCTACCAATCACCCTGCTTCCCCGGCACGTGTGATAACTCAGTAGATTGTCAATGTCATCAAGGGTTTACTGGGAGGGATGGAAATCAACGCTGTAAAACAAGTAAGCTACTGTAGTTAAGGTGGCATATACATATATATATATGTCCGCAAGTTTACATCATCTCTGTGTTAACTTCCTTAATTTTACAAAAGTTTAGCACACTAAGCCAAAGGCAATGTTAACTTTTCTGATCAAAGTGTCCTTCATATATGATCCATGAGAATCTATGTTTACAGTGACGTCAGAGATGAGTCCAATTATTACGCAATGTACCTTCATTCTCGCTTATGTGGAAAAAACTGGTAAGAGGAGGGAACTGTACCGATTTGTAATCGATTCATCTGAACCAAACTCTACAAAAGTAGATACAATGTGGGTAAACCAAAATGAATACAACTATATCAACGTCACATTTGCGGCAATCTTCTCAGCACCAGATAACTTAACCATTCCTAAATATGTCAAACAATTTAAAATGGGAATCATTTCCGGAAGAATTAACCTTATTCTTCACAATGTGGGAGGAATAGGTGAATTTATGATAATTAACATCTCTTGAAATGACAAAAAAGGTGGATAATATGATGTAATATAAATTATCGTTGAAACAGGAGTTAATTTTGTACTCTAATCTGTCTTACTAGATAAAGACACACCCTTTATAAGTAGAAATGATACCATCGACTGTGAAAGCAAGCCGGGTCCCCTCAACCCAAACGATGATGTATTTCACTGTAACTACACGGATGTAAATTTTGACAGACAGCTAGAAAATGGAGACAAGTAAAACACAATTTTTTCTTTACAATTTGTGTAAAAAAATACGTGAAAATATTGTATTATTGGTCCGTTCGTTGCAATTATTAAAAAGCCTATTTTTCAGGAATTTTTTCTAAAAAGATGGCTTTTTTTAAATCTGTTCTGATTGATTTTAAGTTTATTGCTTTCTTAACAAACATCTATTTCATTTCAAATATTCGAAAAATTTCAAGTATATATTAGTATATCTAACATTTGTTTGTATTTTGCTTAGTTTAACCCTGACCGTTTTTACCGAGAACGGGGGCTTTAGAGAATTAATAGGGTCATCTGTAAACAAGGACTTTTTTATCGGGCGGATGTCTACAAAATCTACAATGTTTCGGTTTGATTTGGTGAAGCCATATCATTGTCTTCTAGATAGGGCTTGTGAGACAACAGCTTTTGATGTATCAGAGGATATTACAAAGGTACAATGGTCTTATTCAACTCTAAGAAATAATTCAATGTATGCAAATCAACAAGAAAGTACAACGAAACTATACATAAAGCCTTACTGAATGTAAAAATATGAATTGAATAAATATCTCTTTCTTTATTTGTTTTGATAAGTCACCTTTGGAATTATCATGGCAAAACTGGGAAGATGAGTTTTCTGGAATCCAAGAATACAAAATACAGGTGTATCAGCTGAAGCTGAACACAACCAACCTAGCAGAACCGAATCCCTGGCGTCCAGATGAGGAAATATTCCTGACGCCATTGGAAACAAGTTACACCTATACCCCTAAGAGGACAGGGATGTATTCCTTGGTACTTAATGTAATAGATAGAGCCAACAATACACAGTACGCTCGCACCTTGGTCTTATATGACCCCAGTTCAAATATTACTCTGTCTGAACTACCATTCAAGGCAGAGAGTGCAGCATCTGAAACTAACTATCAGTGGCAGAATAATCTCAGCAACAACATCATTATGTCGTGGAAAGGACACTTCCAAAACAAATTTCATGACGACAATAAACTTTTAAATCCAGTAACACATTATAGACATTTCGATTATGAAGCAAAATATGAAAAACAAGTTCCAGACCAACTTGATGATAACTCAGGAAAAAGAACACTTGCGGAGATCCGGAATGTTCACGGCATCGTGAAATTTGAATATTTCTACAGACATGGCAATCAGGGAGATAAAACCCCACAAACCTGGTATAGGGTGAATGATACATTTTCTGAAACACAGACATTCAACATTGAAAGAAAAGATGGCGATACCATTAATTTCTGGGTCAAAGCCACTGACATCATGGGGAATACGAAAGTCGACTTGTCAAAGATTTTCTTCGATTCAAGCTCACCAAAGAGTTTAAAACCCTCTGATGTTACATTTACAAAGAACGTCAATAATGCCACATTTGCCTTCTCCAGTCGGTAAGAAATAAAACTTCTCAATTTTCTGAATTGATTCTTTTGAATTCAGTGAAATTAAAAGGATAAATTTCTAAGTCATTTGAAAATTAAGACCGCCATTTATAGCTCAATTGTTTTCTCAGCCTACAGGTAGACGCGTTAGACAGACAGAGCGGTATTCATAAAATACACGTGGAACTGAGATCTAACAGTACTAACAAATTATTCCATGAAAGCGATATTCCAGGAAATAAAACGGAAGTGAGGAATTTTGTTTTGAATATTTGTTTTATATTTTTTATTTGATATAAAAAATATAAAACAATATATATATATATATATATATATATATATATATATATATATATATATATATATATATATATATATATATATATATAAAAAACAAAATTGATAGAAAAAATATAAGACTAAAATGATTTCTGGTGGTTTATTGTTACTGTAGGTGGATCCTGGATTTAAGACCGGATACACGACGTCCGTAGGAAGCTTCTTTTATTACCGTCATGATGTGGACATCAATAACTGCTGGATGGTTGTGTCGAAGGAAAAATTCGCCCAGGAGTTTGTCTTACTAAATCTTACCGTTTACAACATGGCAATGTTACCAACTTCCTACATCCAAACCGTGAGAAGATTAAACAACCTTCGATACTAGTAATCTTTTATGTACTCTGTTCAATGTGTTTTTGCTCTGACCTCATTTCAATTCCTTTTTCAGATAACAGATGTAGCTTCCCTTAACGGCATGGATGAATGTAAGGCATATATTTGTATAATCCTCAGAGTTTAATATGTAAACGAAACGGTGTTCAGATCCAAAATATAGTGCATGTTATTTGCATTAACCTCATGTTTACGTTTCTGGTTCTTTATATCAGTACCTCATCTCTTTAGACTCTGGTCCAATAAATTTAACTATAACTGCAACCTATGACAACGGCGTTCGTCTGAATTGGATCGTACCTCCAACTTGTTACGAGAGGTCAAAGGTTATAGTACAGTTCCGGTCCTCCAGTGGTCAAGTTCACGTCCGGTTTGTAGATAAGGACGCCGACTGGTTTGATTTGACAGGACTGGATCCAGAAACAAGTTACAACCTGTCCTTTGTAACAGAATATGGTCCTCAGAGGAGTGATCCTGTATTCCTACACTTCAAAACAGCAGAGGCACCAACTACTCAGACCGGGGGAGCAATAGCAGGAATTTCTTTTAGTAATAAAATTTATAATTATGCATCTCTCTCTCTCTCTCTCTCTCTCTCTCTCTCTCTCTTTCTCTCTCTCTCAAACAAAACAGCATGGTAACTTATCAGTTTTTGGAATATGCAATAGTTAAGATTAAAGGCCAAAGTTTTCAACCGGTAGGTTTTCCTCAGGTAAGTTTGGTGTGGGGTGGAGCTTAATCGAAGCGGCTGAGAAGCCCCCAGGGAACGACACTGGCTTGTGTAAAGCTACCTATATACACAGGGTGTTTCCTGAGTGTATTACCTGTATGCGTTTTCCTACTAAATTGCAAAAACGAAGCTGTTTTTTCAATGTGTAGGTCAATTGAAATACATGAAATAAAGCATGTTTTTGTTGCGGACAGAATCCTTCTCAATTTCTTAAAATTAACATTCTTAGTCATTCCGCAATTTCAATATACTGTGTTTGTTAATCAAATGTTATCACGAATATTGCACTAAAATCGGTCGTTGTAATATGGCGGTCGTGTACTCAAAACAAAAAAAGAAATCGGGTCATAAATCTCTCGGTGAATAACAATTAAACTTATAAACGATGTTGAAGATAAACTATTAAGAAATATAATAGTCTAAATAAATTTTATTAAAGATAAATCCTTCGTGATTTTTCCATAACGCATGGACTGTAAAAATCACCAGGGCTTCGGACCTAGGATTTTCCCCCGACCGCTTTGTATATGTGAAACGTGAATGGAATCACCTGAAGCGTACTTTTTTCTTTCGGGATTCATAATTTCAAATACTAAATGCAAAGCAAAATGTTATAATTCGACTAATATTTACCTCCACTGAATATTTTCTCCTTTATTTCTTAAGAAAACCCATTGCGTTAATCACTGTATGAACTACATTAGGCATGTCGCCTGTACAGATTCTTGATCAGTGGCTGTTCCATCAATGAAACGTATAAAGACGTTCGCATCATTAATACAATAATTAAACTTTTTAATCCTTCTTTAAATGATTATTTAAACAGATATAAATATAAACAATAAAATGTCTTTCTTTGTTTGTTATTACTGGAATTAACGGTCGCAGCTATTGCAGAAAAAGTTTACAGTGTACATAACCCGCTTACGCGGGTTACGTATTTTTTCTGCAACAGCTGCTTCCGTTAATTCCAGTAATAACAAACAAAGAAAGCATTTTATTGTTTATATATCTCTTCTAAAACTGGTGTTACACCGTATATCCGGTTTTTTCGCGTGTTGGAAATTTTTCGAAAAAGGGGTAAATTAGTACATCTGTTATTTTGCGAAAGTTATTTTTTACGATTATTTAAAGATTTTTTTTCGTTTAAAATGGTAATGTTTTATGTCACATTTTAGCTGATATAATTTCTGCGTGTTTTATATTTTGGGAATTAAAAATGGTCGCAAAAAATGCGAAAAATAGATCATCGCGAAAAAAAAACGGATCTACGGTAATACCGTAACTTCATCACCATGTCTCGAAGAAAAGCGAAACGTACAGGTTTGTGTTAAAGTTAAAAATAAATATAAATTTTCACTTGACTCCTGAACAATGTTGTCATACTTGTTTTAAAGAAATAATTTTATTTCTTTCCATGATACTTCAAACTCGCGTCGGTTTATTTTGCTAGGTATGGTGGAATAAATGTACGTAATCTCATGTTTTGACAATTAAATTTAAAATTATCGATTGTAATAGTGAAATGCCCCCCCCCCCCCTTTCTAAAATTAATATAATAATATATAAACATGATTTTCTTATTTAATCATTTGACAGATTGATTACATTTAGAGCATATTCTCGTGAATTAAAAAAGAACGTTTTGGTTGTTTATTTATCACGTTGGCATATGCGGTTAGGCATCAAAGGCCCAAATGTTAATTCGATAGTCGGTACGATCCCCAGACAAGGTACACAGGATATACACAACGACAAAAAACTAAATGTCAATCAAATCCAAGTATCCAATCCCAGGCTTAATATTTTAGCGTTTTTTTTAAAATGTTGGGTGTAATTGCCGTCATGGTGGTTCTATGGCGCCTTGGACGTTTAACTGTGGTCAGAGAAGACATTCAACGCAGGGTAACAGTGGTCAGAAAGAACATCGCAAATAGATTAACAGACAATGTAAGTGATAACTGTCTTGATTTTTTTTTTGTTTTTATGATGTGATCAATCAGTTTGCTCGAGTGATGTCGCCGAAATTGTAAATATTCGGTCATAAATGTAAAATACATATGTTTTAAGTAATAATGAAGTTTTAAGTATTTTTTTTCTCAGAGTGATAATAATGTAAATTTTTTGTCTGCAGAATCCTGGCTATGATTGTGATGAAGTATACGTATATGGCCAAATGGATTTCAATAAAACGGACAATTGGATATTATCGAGTTTCGAAATTGTTAATGAGTGGAAGATTTGCAGACATCTATAAAGCCAGATACCACCACAAAATATCATGTCTAAACAAATAATCGTAGCAAAGACTTTGAAAAGTAACTTTTACATAAAAATATTATACAAGTAGCCATATACATAAACAGCAGCAAATAAATTGTAAAATCAAAAATTGATTATTTAAAAATAAATTATGGGTTTACTTTAGAATTACTTTAGGAGGTGATAAGCACAGATAGGCACGAAGATATATATAAATATTCCTCTTGCTCAGGGGTTTAAAGCTTTATAATGATACAATATAAGTTGAAGGGGCTCGATTAAGTTGTACATGCAAGTTTCAAAATACTGTTTCAGACGTTGCACTGGTTGCTTTTCTTTATTAAAGTAATGCAATGTCTTGCACAGTTTAAATATGAGTACCGGGGTATATGTAAAATATTAAAGAAGATCTAAAGGAATTGCACTCAAAGGGTAGTCGGCTAAATACTATAAGCATTTCTCTCGTTTAGAGTTTAAATGCTGTTTAATTCAAAACGCAAATGTTATAAAGGATATTATAATACATTTATGTTATGCTTACTAAAGGCTTCGTCTATCCATCGTTTAAGGCACAATTTACAGCTGAGATTTGGATTTTATTTTTTTTCTATTTACATATTTTTCTTTGTTTGTTGGCTGAACAATTTTTCAAGTAGAGAAAAGTTTTCATTCAACTGAAGATAAATTCTCAATGAAGTTTCTCACCTTTTTTTTAAGTGGCTACAGTGAAGAAAACATGCTGATGATGAAAGCAAAGATCAACTTTTTTTGGAAAGAAGTTGGAGAATACCCAAATATTGTTCATTTTCTCGGCGCTGTCGTTGATAATGAAGCATGTTGGTTATCATTATTTACTGTGTTTCAAAAATTAATTGTCATTGTCATAAAATGTCATTTTATTTTGTTGTTTTAAAAAAGAAGGCTAGAATTATTTCTACATACATTTCGAAGTGCCTTTCAAAAGTAGCTTTATTTTGCTGTTTTAACCTGGATGATAAAATTGTATAACCACGTTTTGCAGTTGGTCCATTCATGGTTCTAGAATACTAGGAGAGGAGACAACTTCGAGATTGGTTGTTACAAAAGAAAAATGCCTGGGCAGAAGACACAGAGGAACAACTACATCGTATTGTCTACGGAATATCTAAGGGAATGGCATTCCTGGAATCGAAGAGGGATCTGTCTTTTTTTAAAATAATACTTTATTCAATGAAAACATGATAACAAGATAACGTGGGGCAATGACATCCGCAGATGTCCCCCTATAATAACCCTCACCAGGGGTGCCAGGGGTTCCCTAGATTGGATAGCAAAATATATGTGTTTGAAAAATGATTAAACAATATTTAAATCAACAGTGTATATAATAAAATTGTATATTGACAAAATATTTATACAGATAGATAATGATAGGTTCTGTTTTGATTGGTGGCCTTTCATATACATGTATATAAATTATAAACTTAAAATTAGTAGACCACTAAGTCAGTTATTTTTACATATTTTAGCTTGTGCACAAAAGACTTGCTCCACGAAATATTCTGTTGACTGGAGATCTGTAGCCTAAGATCTATGGATTCGGACCTGAACCACCGCAACAACAGGGCAACGAGGAAGAAAAGGATGCCACATCTGACGAAAAGGTTAATGGCCTGTAACTTCTAAGTCGAACCATAATAGAAATCTATATGATAAAATTTGTATGGATGTATCCAAAATGCTTATGATTCTGGGAAGTGAAGGGGGGGGGTGAATATATGTATATTACACCTTTGAAAATATTCATTGGACACAACAAATTATTTACATGATAGTAATAAGCAGCTCACCAGGGGTGCCAGGGGTTCCCTAGATTGGATAGCAAAATATATGTGTTTGAAAAATGATTAAACAATATTTAAATCAACAGTGTATATAATAAAATTGTATATTGACAAAATATTTATACAGATAGATAATGATAGGTTCTGTTTTGATTGGTGGCCTTTCATATACATGTATATAAATTATAAACTTAAAATTAGTAGACCACTAAGTCAGTTATTTTTACATATTTTAGCTTGTGCACAAAAGACTTGCTCCACGAAATATTCTGTTGACTGGAGATCTGGAGCCTAAGATCTATGGATTCGGACCTGAACCACCGCAACAACAGGGCAACGAGGAAGAAAAGGATGCCACATCTGACGAAAAGGTTAATGGCCTGTAACTTCTAAGTCGAACCATAATAGAAATCTATATGATAAAATTTGTATGGATGTATCCAAAATGCTTATGATTCTGGGAAGTGAAGGGGGGGGGGGGTGAATATATGTATATTACACCTTTGAAAATATTCATTGGACACAACAAATTATTTACATGATAGTAATAAGCAGCTAGCTTCATTATGATGTCATTCCGAAGAATAGGGAATAGTTTATTAAGATTTATTATACAATATACAATTATGGACTGTTTAGAAGGGAGACATCACCAATTATCAGGTCTGAGTAGGGTTGTCACCCGAGGGTCCTTGCGCTCGAGGGTGACAACCCTACTCAGACCTGATAATTGGTGATGTCTATCTTTCTATCTCTCGATACTACTTGCCTTCAAATGAGTACTCTGAGTAGGGCGCGCAGCTGGTTAAAAGATATAAAAAAAAGTAGAGAAAAATAATTTCAATGCGTTGAAAAGGAAACAGTATTACGTTATTAGTGAAGATAAACGTTTAGAAAAACAGTACTTATAGTTTAAAAGATATAAAAACACTATAATATAATTAAGGTCTGGGTGATTCAGTTTGCTCACTTCCAGTTTGAACTGTTCAACACTGAGAAAACACTGCCCGGCAATCTGTTCCACTGAACTATTGTAAGAGGGAAAAAGAGTGTTTATAGACATTTTTTGTAGTTTGTATCTGTCGAAATGTGAGGGAATGCGATGAACGGGTAGTCCTACTTGGGGGAATGAACTGAACTGAGGGGATGGCTACTAGTCCATGTATAATCTTGTATATAAGTACAAGCCTTGCGTCTGCCCTTCTTTGTTGTAAGCTTCGCCAACCTAGGGTTTGTTGCATATATGAGACAATTGATATTCTTCTAAAATCCGACATCACCCACCATGCAGGTCTGCGCTGTACAGCCTCAACTTGGTTAATAAGTAACCAAATGAGAGTCCCAAACGCTGGCAGCATACTCAAGCTGTGGACATACCACAGCTTTGTATGCTGCTGACAGAAGCTGCTGGTTCCTGGTCGGTATATTTCAGCGTAAGAAGCCAAGGGAGCTGTTGGCTTTGTTTGTAACCCGACTGATGTGCTTACTCAAATTCAGGTCATCCGATATATAGACACCCAGATACCGAGCTGATGAGGTAGTCTCTAATACCTAACCACGAAGTATATACATGTAGTTGGTACAAATTGGGTATTTGGATGTCGTTACATGGATAACCTGACACTTACTTGGGTTGAATTCCATGTCCCACAAGGTCTCCCAGTTCTCTAGTTGCTTAAAGTCCTCTTGGAGCATTGACTGACATCCCTGTCCATCCATAGTAATGTAGATGACAGTGTCATCTGCGAAGAGTCTAACCTGCGACTTCACATGCTCCGGCAAATCGTTAATATAGGCGAGGATAAGGATGGGACCAAGGACAGACCCCTGGGGGACTCCAGATGTAATGGGGATGGATGTGGAGAACTCGCCATCTACCTCTACCCTCTGGGAACGGTTGCTGAGGAACCCCTTGATCCATGCTAGGTTTCGGCCTCGAACACCATACTCATGTAGTTTAAAAAGTAATTTGTTGTGTGAGACCTTGTCAAAAGCTTTGCTGAAATCGAACAGGATCAAATCGGTTTGCTTACCGTGTTGGATGTTACGGGCAAGCTCATTTACTAGCATCACCAGCTGGGTTTCGCAGCTCCGTCGCTCCCTCAATCCATGTTGGAGATCAATGTAAAATGTCTTACCAAGTTTGAAGTTATAATATGCTCCATAGTTTTGCACAGTATACATGTAAGGGTTATCGTTCTGTAATTAGCCGGGTTTGATCCCTTCTTAAATATTAGATGAGCACCCGCAAACGCTGGAAACTGAATTTATATATAGTTACCTTTTACAACAGAAAAGATATTGTAATTGTAAATTGTAGTTTTTATTGAAAGAATACAGCCTTAAAGAAGGAAGAAATGTCTTGTTCAAAATCCCGCAAGAAGTAGATGTACGTCACCACCCCCACCCACGGTTTTTTTTTTTTTTTTGAAAACCTGAAAATAGAGACTTCTCCACAGCCTCTTGCTAATACCTGCCACTTAGCAATTCCAAGGACCAAAGGGTATTTCTAGCCACTTGGCTAAACAGCCGCAACTTATCAAAGCTTATATAAATGCCACTTGGTTCATAGCCACTTGTCTAGTATACCCGTCAACTGGGTAAAGCAAAGGTTTTGCCAATTGACATATTCAACAATTTACACTTGTCAGTAACTCGTCATCAACTTACATTCCTCGCTGTCAGAATATTCCAAATTTTCTTAATTGGACATTAATGTTACGATTTACTCAAATAGCCATTTGTCTTCTTATATAAACCTTGTATTAGTGGCTTTCCCGTCAACAACATGTTTCTAATAATTTCCAAGCATACTTTGACCAAACTAATGTTTTCATTGTATTCTTATAACTTTATTTGTTGTAAAACTATTTAATCACAGCGTCCGTCAATATTGAGATCGGTGATTGACGAAAATAATTTGCATTATTCGCTTTTTAATCGGTTATCACAATTTATTTCTTTTATATCATTTGAATTAAGTTTTGATTGAATAATTCAGTGATGACATTTTATGAAATAAATAAACAATTTTTTGTTGTCAGTTTCATTAAAATTTGCCAGTAGCCTAGATCCGCCAACCGGAAATTTCACCATACTCACGTTGATGCTATTTCATGGCTGTTTTCAGAAAATTGAAGTAGACTTTTAATTTTATGTACGATACTTGCTATCCGAGTGAAATCTAAATAGAGTTTACGGACATCATCTTGTATGTAGTGTATTATTAGAGGAGTAAATAAGAACTCTAGTGCACCCGTTTCGGTGTTTATTTGCAAAATTTATCAATTTCTAAGTATAGAAGGGACTAACATTAGTGGTGCACTGGGTAATGTACCTGTATCATATGAGAGCTGAAAAAGGATTTGGATTATTGAGCTTACCTCATTATGCAGTACTTTTAGTAAGATGGTTGGGATCTGATCAGGGCCAGCCGCTTTGTCGGTCTTCAGGTTTTTCAGCAATTTTTCTATACCCTCTTTGGTTACCTGTATTTCAGGCATGTGGATTCTTGCTGGGGAGGGTTTGTCAGTAAAAGAGGTAGACTCGGCTGGGTGGGTGGTACTGATATGTTGGTTACTCACCTCCATGTTACATAGCTGGGAGAGGGAAAGAGGAGTTTTGTGGCTAAAAACCGACTGAAACTGCTTGGAGTTTACTTCTGACTTAGAGACCTGTTTCTCCAGGATACCAAGGATGTTGTTCACATACCTATGACATGAAAGTCTTATTTGTTGCTGGACTAGATGTTTAGTACTTTTATAATGGTGTTTATCTTCTGGTCTTTTTGTTCTTCTCTGTCTGCAAAAGAGTTTATCACGTTTTCTAATTAAACGTTTGATGTGAATATCAATCCAGGGTAGCTTGTTCTTTCCTCTGATCCTTATAGATGGTACAAAAGCTGATAAACCCTCGGAGATTTTTTTTTTGAATTCATTCCATAAATAATCAGTGTTTGTATATGCATGTACATTCATGAGAACTTGATCTTTATACTGAGCAATATGATGTCTAAACCCATCCCAGTCTGCTTTTTTGTACAGTTGGACATTTCTAGGCTTGATTTTGCTTAACTGCGGTTTTTATGTTTGACTCTGTGTACACAATATCATGATCTATGGCACGTCAAATTCACAAAAATGAGCAAAACATAGTTTCACAGTCGATAAACTAGGTTTATCGGTTGTAAACTATAGATTACTGACTGTAAACTATAGTTAACAACGTTAATCTATATTTTACATCTGTAAACTATAGTTAACGCGATAATCTATGTTTCACAACCGTAAACTATACTTAACACCAAAAACAATCATTTGCGATTGCAAAACATAGATTATCTGATAAATACAGTTTCACGATTGTAAACCATGGATTACAACTCTTAACTATAGTTAACGATCGTAAATTATAGTTTACAGACGTGAATCTATGTTTATCAACAAAATCTTTTGATTATCTGATACATCGACATCGTTGTCGTTTTATTACAGACAGATAAACTTATATTAGCATTCGTGAAGTATAGTTAAAAACCGATGAATATAGTTTTACAGATGAAAACTATACTTAACGAATTGTAAACTATAGTTCACGATTTATAAACTATAGTTTATAGTCGATAAACCTAGTTTATCAATACGTTCTAGTTTCACTATTGAAGAGTTATAGTTCTTGGTGCGCTCTTTTGTGAAAAAGTCGGGGAATGTACAAATCTCGCGGGATTTCTGGGACAAACGTAACATAAACATGTAAACAACACGTTGAATGTCGATGAACAAATCCTAACAAAATGCATATGAAATATTTTATTGTTGTGGACTTTATTTAAATCAAGAGGAGAGATGAAAAGGATATTTAAAATTTACGTCTATTGGTGATCGTATGTATATTTATTTATCGTAATGGTACATTTTAAGTCAATACACATACCTCGGAAATGTCGTATTTTTATTGATGGACGATAAAGTTAGGGTTTTCTCTCTTTTTCATATGTCTTTTAGTTCTTCTATTCTTTAGTTAGAATGACAAATGCACTTAACATTTAAAATTGGATTGATATTGACATATTTTGTATTATCCGCAATGCCACGCTGTCCCAGTCAGACGACCAAACGCGCCTCTAATTCTGAAGAGTTCACTAATGGAAATACAACGTATTAAGCTAAGTATTAAACTAAGTTTAGCACGCCAAATTCACAAAAATGTGCAAAACATAGTTTCACAGTCGATAAACTAGGTTTATCGGTTGTAAACTATAGTTTACCGACTGTAAACTATAGTTACCAACGTTAATCTATATTTTACATCCGTAAACCATAGTTAACGCGATAATCTATGTTTCACAACCGTAAATTATACTTAACACCCAAAACAATCATTTGCGATTGCAAAACATAGATTATCTGATAAATACAGTTTCACGATTTGTAAACTATGGTTTACAACTCTTAACTGTAGTGAACGATCGTAAATTATAGTTTACAGACGTGAATCTATGTTTATCAACAAGATCTATTGTTAAGTTTTTATTAAAGACAGATAAACTTGGATTAGCATTCGTAAACTAATAGGTAACAACTGTTATTAGTTAAATATAGTTTTACAGATGAAAACTATACATAACGGACCGTTAACTATAGTTTACGGTCTGTAAACTATAGTTTACAGTCGATAAACCTAGTTTATCAATTGTGAAACTAGGTTTAGCTCATTTTTGTGAATTTGGCGTGCCATAATGATTACTTAACCCAGGTAAGGGGGCACTTTACTTACCAGAGTTGGGCGATTTGTCAAATACAAATCAAGGGTGTTTTCACCTCTAGTAGGGAAGTCTACCATTTGCTGTAGATTATTGTCTTGCACACTCATATATAAAGCTGTGTTTCTACAACTAGTTTCAATGTTATTTCTTACCCAATCATACTTCGGCATATTAAAGTCACCCATTAGCCAGATTGTGCCACCTTTATGAGCAAACTTGGATAGTGAGATTCTCGGCTTGACTAAGTTTTTTTCATCTGCTTCCTCTGGTTTGTAATATGCACCTACATATAATGATTTGCCACCATGCAAAAACAGCTTTGACCCATAACAACTCACAGTCAGTTTCCAGCTCAGAGGCTCTTGATGCTGTAAACTGTGTACGAAAAAGTATAAATATGCCTCCCCCTCTGGTTGTAACTCTGTTCCTACGGAATACAGTATACATATAACCGATGTCTGCTGGAAATACCTCACTGTCAGCTATATCAGGTGTCAACCATGATTCAGTACCTATTACAATATCGTGGGAAACAATAACTATAAGATTTTGGAACTCACCTTTTTTTTTAATTACAGATAGACCTACAGTTGATATTTAAGGTCTTTAGCCCTCTACCGACATTGTCCTTACTCCTGGTACTTTGTTTTCGATTGTTCTTTTTTGGTGTCGATGTGATTTGTGGTGGACTGGATGGTAGGTCCATTCTAGTTTCAGAAATTTCTTGACCGGGGGGGGGGGGGGCATTCTAGGTAAATAAAGGAGAATAGGCCACTGCTGAAGTTTGGCATACCTCACTGAAAACATACATGTTCCCATGAACAGTTTGAGTTGTCAAGGCCTTCATAAACCTTTTTGTCTATATTTTGACAGGAGGCATGAAACCATGCATCACAAGAGTCACAACAGACCCCTTGGTGGCTCCAAGATATCTCTTGATTACATGTACCACAATGATATCCTGGACCAGTGTTAAGTTCAACATCACATGCCAAAACAATGAGCAAAAGACTCAAATAATTTGTATTATACTTAGCTCTGTTGGCCTAGGTAGGATACTGATGGGCATTCCCTGCCAGGTTTGAGGAAGCTTTGATAACGGAAACATTAAGACAACTTCTGGTTAGAATGATTTAAAACGAAACAGTCCATAATAGTTTTATTTTCCTTAAGAATCAAATTATCAGTTGGATAGAGTAGAAAATAGTAATCAAACCTCTTGTGTTCGCTTAATCTGCTCTGATTCCATACTTTCAAAACAAGTCAACAGACAACTTTGACGTCATCGTTAGAATTTATTATTTACCAATCCCGCATATTTAGCAATTGTATATTTTATTTATATATTTTATAGATATATAAATTCCGTATGCAGGTGGTGAAGGTATATTGCTGCAAGGAAAGTTGACGATTGTAAAGTTAAAGGCATCACGTTTATCATAGAGCTTGGTTGTTAGATTACCATTAATTTATTTTTCAAGTAAAATATCTAAATATGAAACAGATTTGTCAGACTCTTTGGTATCTTTTATCTCAAGCTCACCGGGATATATCGTATCGACATAAGAATGAATTGATCGATTGATTGATTGTATATTGTTTAATGTCCCTGTCGAGAATTTTTCACTCTTATGGAGACGCCACCACGTGCTGGTGGAGAGCTACAATTTTTTTCCCTAAAATCGGCATTCAGGGCCATTGAGCAATGAGGAATCTTTTTCTTGCCAGCACCTACTGCCACACGGGGCCTCGGTTTATATGGTCTCATCCAAAGGACCAGTCTCCACGTCCCACAGTGGGATTCAAACCCGCGACGTAAGGATCAACTCCTTCCTTCGGGACTCTAGAGCAAACGCTCTTACTACTGTGCCACGCAGGCGGCCATAAGAATGGAAGATACTTTTGATAATTGACACTACGTCGTAGATATATCTAAATTGGGAGTTGAAGGCCACAGCAAATGTTTTCTTCTTTTCAGATCTACCCCTGGCAACTGCAGGTTTTTACAGCCATATGCACAGAAGTGGGCAGGCATGGTGAAGTATTGAAACGAAAGAACCCAAAGACCAGGTCGATATCACATGTCGTAAAGGTAAACAATCAAAATGGCGGCTATACAGGTAAACTGGTATTTAAAGAAAGCAGTGGCCTTGCCCTACACAGTACTGCGCATGCGCTATCTCACGGAATAATGGGCAGGGTTTTTTTTTTATTTAAGGCGCGTAATATAAGATTTTTGACAACTTCTGCATCATATGAACACAAAAATAGGTATGTTAATAACGCAGCGCAATCGGTACCCAATAGATTGTTGGAATGCTGGTCTCCAAAAACAACATCGAAACTCAGGCACATTTTTATGTCAACTTCAGAGTATTTGTGTGTACAATCAGAATATTTTTAACAAAATAATTTTGCATATGACAAATGACAAGGTACTAAATTTACGAGTTCTATTTTTATTGAAAAAGCAGCTGTCCATGATATCGAAAAGCCTGGACTTTAATTTAACGTGGGGAATGGTTGTGTATAAAGTTGAAAAGTTTTTAAACTGTTCATTAAAGCGGGACTTTAATTTATAAGTTTTTAAAGATTTTTTTGGGTAAAATCTTGTGATTTCATGTTGTCCAAAAGTTCCTGGGAATTTTTAAGTATCCTCATCTGATTTACACCACTTCTTGATGAATTTATTGTTGTACAGTGTTTTTGAAGTTTCTCTACTACTTTAAATACTGTATCTTAGTGAGGAGTAGAGAAAAAAGGCTTGGTTGTGCATTTAATGAAACCCGCTATGTATCTTTGACGTACGCATTGTACCGTACCTACTGTTAAAATAAAGTTGTATTAAGGACAGATGGTGCGAACAAAAAAATGGATGCCTGGATTGGTATATATTTCTGGGCCTATTTTGTTGCAATCGATGCAACTTAAATTTCCAAAATATTAAGAAATTGTAAACCTTCTAGGATGTTCAAAATTGTACCTTCTAGCAGTCATCCTTATTAATCTATGCAAAAAATTTTCACTTCCAATTCCATTTTTGTTTAAATGTTGACGAAAAATTAAACACTACGTGGTTAAACTTGTTCATTTACGCATTGAAACATGTCCAAGGCTGTTATTTTCAATTTTGACGACAAAAGTTTGTTTGTATCATCTGTCCTTAATAAGAAAATACCTTTGGCTTAATAATCGCTTGTGTATTTGTTTAATTTTTATTTCATGGTTAAAATATATGCATCAAAAAAGTGACCAATTAAATATTTTTTTTGTAAACCATTCTATGTGTTATCCTGACCTCTGACAAAGTGACTCCAAATTACAAAGGTGTTTTGCTTCCTAGACTTTCTTTTAAAAAAACCTATATGACACAATATAGTCAGACGGGGTGACAAGGTGATCACAGAACAGCATTCTTGGATTCTTGCTAATTTGAATTATTTTTTTTATTCAGGTGATACTCCGTATCCAGGCATGCGCAGTAGAGATGTACAAACTAAAGTGAGAAATGGCCATCGAATGAAGAGACCAGAGTTTGCATATAATTTGTAAGGCCAGGACATTTCTTTTAAAAATGCAATTGATAAAAATTGTATTCCTCTTCCTTTTACCTATTCCTTTGCTTTCTCTCCAAATAGCTTCTACGGAGTCATGACAAGATGCTGGAAGTCGAAGTCGAAACATAGACCCAGTTTTATTGATCTATCTACTGAGATCGGGAACACCTTCAATGCTGCCCCCTCAGACAATTGCTACTGCTACTCCAAACAATAAAGAAGTCTACTACTACTCCAAACAATAAAATCAGCTACAAATACATGCATTTTGTCTCGGGGTGTTTATATAAGAAATTTTCAAATTTAAATTCACCATAATATGGACTCCCACTTATGAAAGAAGACTTCTCTAGAACATACCGGTAACATGTTTCATATAAAATGGGTGAAAAAAGTGAGGAAAAAAAACATTTTACAGTTATGAAACCTTTAGCATTTTATTGTGAACTTTGAATTAACCTGTTGTGTATGAAATGACGAGATTTTATAGTCTCTGAAAACTTCTTTCGACTGTCGTGTAAATTTGATAAAATACATAACATATAAATCCGCATTCTATTGTAATTATTGAATTAATTTGTTGTGTATTAAATGACGAGATTTTATAGTGTAATGTGCAAGGGAGGTCACTGCCTGTGAACCCCCGCAGGCTCGTACCCGTGATAAAAACGGATAGCCTTGAGATGCTGCAAATATATACAATGCGCAGTCTTAATCACTTGGTACTGCGTTATATAAGGTCTTTACTGGTAGCGAACAAGTGACACTGGCAGGGAAGTCCACACACCAGCGCACATCCACAAGAGACAAGCAGGGATGACGCACACTCGCCCTTGCGCAGTGACAAGTAGGGATGACCGCACATGTGACACTACAGACACGGTTCTACACTAGAGACACTGGCAGCGATGTCCGCACACCAATGCTCTACCACAAGATGCAGGCAGGGATATCCACACACCTGATTTTGCGCAGCAACAAGCAGGGATGTCTCACACTTGTTACTATTAGATGCCAATTACAGAGCAGGTATGACTACTCACTCTGTCAAGCAATAACACCGTATCCAACGGGTAACGCGGGGGAGTCGCTAAAAAGTATGGGGGAGTCGTTTTCAACGTATGGGGGAGTCGATTTTCACCGCTTCGGAGTCAGAAGCGATGTGGGTCACGTCTTTTTTCGGTATATGTAAGATGTATTTACAAAAAACAACTAGCCCACGGAAGGTAGCAATAGTTAAGCTTTCTGTTGGTCATTTGTCCGGCTAGCATATACGTCTAGTTTTCTCAAACACTTCGAAACTATTCAACTTCATATTTACGTTGATCGAGTGGTTAAGACATGCATATTTTGCACAATCTACGACTTGTGTAGGGATTATAACAGTTAAAACAGTAAAAGCAAACGTTAATCTTTCAAATACAACAATTGAAAGTTGGCTAGACTTAATGAAAATTAATAACTAGAAAAGAAACTCGTTGCGAGCAACGAGAGGTCTTCCGTCCGACTCTGAAAACCCCCCCGCAAAATCGAGATAAAAAAGGGATATCACTTTTTATTGAAACAAAGGGGATTGAACCCGGGTCGCCAGCGTGAAAATCGAAAGCACAAAGCACTTACTATTACGCTAAGGGATCACAGGTCTTCTTATACTTGTATAAACTTCTGCAACAGTACATCTGTATTAGAATAATGAAAGGTGGGTCTCTATACATAATTTTGAGTCAAACGCCATGAGAAAATCTTTGCGCCTTTTCATTGGAATGTTCTATTGAATAGGTGTGGTATCTTCAATGTAGAATAGGAACGTTCCTATAGCTTAAATTTCAAGGTTAAGAAAATATATTTAACACATTTACACATTCCATATCGTATATAGATAAGTAACACTAAATCAGTGAAACAACTATAATTTTTAATTTATTAAGTGAACTATCCCGATTACTTAAACTTTCATGAAAAGGTTGAAATGTTTCTGAAAAACATGTGTCGCCCTACCACTGTCAAGGAATCAGATACCATTTATGTTCAATAACTTAAATCAGACTTAGAGACAAGAATGTTAATATATTTATTAATTCTGTCTTTCTATTAGTTTACTATGACACAAATGTGCATGAACAAAACAGTGCTTACGTTTAATACTTACAATACACATCGATATTGTTTCTTAAAAAACTATTACTTAAAACTATGATTTAGAATTTGTTTTCCGCAAAAAAACAAACGATACTAGGTATCGTATTTCATTTGCACATTTAGTCTTTTCTTTTTCTACTTTGAGAATCACCCAAAACCAATTGTAGAAGACGTTTGACTCAGAATTGCAACGTAACAACGACGTAACAATCCCAGTATTCCTTTACATTTCATTTATCCTTATTCTACTTTCGTTCAAGCAAACGCTCGGCTGACTCCGTAAACCCTGACTTGCGAAATGTCGGAGTAGACGGAGAGAGCCGCCATTTTGGACCCGCTTCAGATTTTTGAATGCTAATATCTAGAGTTTGGATTTATCAATATGCAAACAAATTATACAGTAAGCATAATAAGAAAGGTTTCTATTAACATTCTAAAAATAAATAAAAAATATTGAAAAACAAAAAAGTTAGAAAATACGGACTTTTTAATTTCGCTTCCGATAGCAACCGGAAGTAGTAACGACGCACAAAAAGGTGATTCCGCAAATCTAGAAGTGATCATCTATCATCTCTAATAAGTCTCCAGTTAATGTCTTAAGCCATTTTTGAAAAAAGGGGGAACAAAAATCCGTTTTAAAATCAGAAAACTGTCAATATCTTGGAACCGAAGGTGAGTATTCCAAAATTTCCTTGTCATGCCACAACTTCATATAATGACGCATAATTCCTGAAAGTTTCATTGAAAACCACTGAATAGTTATCGAGAAATCGCCTGCACAAAATTTTGGGGAAAAAAATAATAATAATAATAATAATAAGAAACAGTAGAATCACTAGAAGGTCTTCCGTGAAGACGGAAGACCTTAATTAAGACATTTTCTCTTCAGAAAGTAATGGTTACGTAGGGGGGAGTCGTTTCTGGAAAAACACAACGCATAGGGGAGTCGCAAAATATGAAAAAAAATATAGTTAAACGCATGACTTAATCTGGTGATGTTTTTAGTTTAAGAATACATGTGCAATTGGATTATATATCTTCGGAGTACATGTGCTTTGGGACAAGACCCTTCCCTAGCTCAGTATGTAATTTTCTTACACATCACAAAAATTCAAAAAGATAACGAACTCTCACTTTCAACAATGACAGCCTCTCCATATAAAAGAACAACCAGATTTATAATATGGAAAATGTCTTCATAATAGTATCAACCATTTTTTTTAATTAGAAAAGTGGAAATCTCTGGCGCGTCATTCCCGCCCCTTGACTTCTTTTTTCGGGGGGGGGGGGGTAAAAATTTTAAACTGGTATATGCTATGCTTTCAATTTGGTCGACATATAAATAATTTATTTTTCATTTATCATATAAACAAATCTTCAGGTACAAACGATGTATCTTAAATGAGAATATTTGGGATTATCTGGGGTTTACACTGTCAGTGCTATATGTATATATTCATAGACAGGGTTCGAGGGCAACATGCGTTTTTTCGGACAGAAGAACCAAACTGTTTGCCTGAGGTTGTTCGGCCGAAGGCAAAAGGGTCGATAAAAAGCATTTTTGTCCGAGAACAATCAATTAATGAATCGTTATATTGTTTATTACAGGCACGTAGCAACAGGGGGGGGGGGGGGGCAGGGGGCCTCCCCCCTACTTTTTTCCCCAACATTACCTTTACTATAGAAAATGTTCATTGAAAGGATGGTTGGCCCCCCCACTTTTTACCATAGTATAGTGGTATCAAGGAATTGTAGGAAAAAATTTAGAAGTGAAAGTAATTTGGCTTTAAAAATGTTGGCCACTTTCAAAAACGATGCTACGTGCCTGTATTATGATATTATCATGATGAAATTTTTTTCACGCGCTCT